GACCTGGAGCTTGGAGACCTGGGGCTATCTTCGCATTGTCCACCTATGAATCATCTAGCCACAGATAAATCACTTAATTTTTATAGTTATCTGATATATAAAACATGGATAATATCAATATCTAATCCACCTGAGATCAAGGAGGTGGGTCAGTGAACGATGATGATGAAGAAGATAACTCCCCTCATGTACACTTTAAGGCAGAGATTTAACATGTAGCCTGCTGCTGCAACCGTGTCTATTACCCAAACTACATTAAAATGTAATTGGGAAGTATTTAATAAAATAAACAAAAATACAATTTTATTGTTGTTCATTTGTGTCCAACTCTTTGTGACCCCGTGTACTATAGTGTCAACAGGGCTTTTTTAGCAAAGATACTGGAATGGTTTGCCATTTTCTTTTTCACTAGATTAAGGCAAACAGAAATTAAGTGCCTTGTCCAGGGTCACACAGCTAGTAAATGGGCAAAATCTGAATTAAAAACTCATGTTTCCTAACTTGTGTTTTGAGCTCTTTCTATTTGGTCATGCTACAGGGAAGTTTCCCACTGGAAACTAGTAAACCTGGGCAGCTAGGTGGCACAGTGGACAGAATACCAGCCCTGGAATCAGGAGGACCTAAATTCAAATCTGGTCTCAGAGACTTCTTAGCTGTGTGACCCTGGTCAAGCCACTTAACCCTGATTGCATCCCAAAGAGAAGAAACTAGTACACCAAATTTCTATATGAAATTACCTATGAGTTGGGGTAGCATGAGTTCATTTTTTTCAGAGTTTGATCACTTCTGGTTAAGAAGCTGGAGATTTTAAATGAGTGGGACTAAGAGAATACATCTTGGAGTTTAGAATGGCAACAAACCTTCGGGCTTTTTTTATCTCTTGTGAGACAGTAAGCTACATAAGGACAGGGTTTCTGCCTTATCTAAATCTTGTATCTCTCCTAGAACTCAGTACAGTTTGTGAACACAGAATATGTTGCAAATATGTTTGCATTCTCCCATACTTGGATTATTCATTCATTAAACATTCAGCAAATAATTTTAAAGCACCTACTTTATGCATACAGAATTCTGCCAGGTACTAGGAAGGATCTGAAGTTGAATAAGACAGCATGGTGTGATGGATAGAAAGCTGGTCTCTCAGCCAGGAAGACTTGGGCTCTGAAGCAGACTGGTTGAGTGACCCTGGACAAATTATTTAACCTTTCAATGCCCCCAGACAACTCTCTAAGATAAGTTGCAGAGCTGGGACCAATCTGCATTGGTAAGGGGAGTCCCTCACTGGTAGCTTCCACACAGATGACATCTCAGGTCTGGTTAAAAAAAAAAGTTAGTTTAGTCCCTGCCTTCAAGGAACTTAGAACAGGAGAAGATAAGTCTGGGACAATCAGTCAAATAAGGCCACAAACATTTATTAAGTGTCCATTTGCCAGGAACCGTGCCAAGTGCTGAGGATACAAAAAAACAAAACAGAACAAAAAAAAAAAAACCCCTACACAGTCCTTGCTCTTAGTCTTAGACAATATGAAAGCAACTATACATAAAGGGAGAGAATTAGATCATCAGTGGGGGGAAGGCGCTAGCATGAAGGGGGATCAGGAAAGGCTTCCTGTAGAAGGTGAGATTTTAGCTGTGATTTGAAGGAAGCCAGAAGGTAGGAATGGGGAGGAGGAGCACTCCGAACACGGAAGAACAGCCAGTGAAAATGTCCAGAGTCAGGAGTTGATGGAATGCACCGTGTGAGAAACAGCAAAGAGGCCAGTGGCACTGGACCACAGAGTATGTGGGGGCAAGCGAGCGGTAAGAAGATTGCAAAAGGTAGGAGGAAGTCAGATTATGAAAGGCTCCAGTTGCTAAACAAAGAACTTTACAACTGATCCCGAAGGTGATAATAGGGGTGAGGGGTGTGAGTGATGTGGCCAGATCTGTGCCTTAGGAAGTTTAATTTGACAGCTGAGTGGAGGATGGACTAGAGCAGGGAAAGATGTGAGGCAAGGTCAACCCAGAGGGCTACTGCAACGGTACAGGAGTGAGGAGATCAGGGCCTGAACCAGAGGGCTGACAGGGCCAGAGAAGAGGAGGCATAGAGAAGAAATGGTCCAAAAGTAAAATAGACAGGACTTTGAAAACAGGTTGGATATAGGGGAAAGGAGGGGAATGGGAATGAAGAGTGAAGGAGAAGGCTGAGGTTATGAACCCAAGAGACTAGAACAACAGAAACACATTTGATAGAAGAGATTTGGAGGAAACATGAGTTGCTTTGGACATGTTGATTTTGAGATGTCTACCCAATTTGTCTATTGGACTAAGTGTTCAAAATTGTAATTCAGGAGAAAGACTCAGGTTGGATACATGGATCAAGGAATCATCTATATATAACTGTTAATTAAATCATGGGAGCTAATGAGTGTACAGAGAGGAGACAAGTGCTCAGGTCAAAGGCTTGGAGTACATTCTCATATAGGGGGCATAAGATGGATGGTCATCCAGCAAAGGAAAGTCATCAGATAGGTGGGAGGGAAGAATCAGAAAAGAATGTCACAAAAACCTAGAGGAGAAAATGTCTAGGAAGAGAAGGTATTAAATACATCAGAGAGGTCAAGGAGGATAAGAACTTGGGGGGCAGTTAAGTGGTGCAGTGGATACAGCACCAGCCCTGGAGTCAGGAAGGCCTGAGTTCAAATCCAGCCTCAGGCACCTGGCACTAGCTGTTGACCCTGGGCAAGTCACTTAACCCCAATTGCCTCACCAAAACAAACGGATGAGAACTCAGAAAAGCCCATCAGATTGGCATTGGCCAAGAGAATACTGGTAACTTTGGAGGAAGCAGTTTCAGTTGAGTGATGAGGTCAGAAGCCAGACTGCCAAGGGCTGAGAAGTGAGAGGAAGGAGAGGATGTGGAAGCAACCAATATAGACAGGGTTGGGTTTTCCCCCCTACAAGTCTGGCTGAGAAAAGGAGGCGACAGAAATGACAATAACTTGAGGGGATAGCAGGGTCTAGTGAAGGTTTTTTAAGGCTCTGGGAGACTTAAGTATATTTGAAGGAATTAAGGAAAGGAAATAGAGACTAAAGATTAGAGAGGCGATGATTGAGAGATCAATCTGCTGGAGAAGATGAGAGGCGATGGGACCAAGGGCATATGTAGAGTAGATACAAACAAATATGATATAAATAAGAATAAGTATGTAAAAGTAAAGTACAACATGAACCAATGTCTGCTGGACTCAGAGTCTGGTGACCTGTATTTCAATTCTGACTCAATGAATTTACCCCAGTGTGTTCATAAGCAAGTCACTTCACTTTCCCTGAGTCTCAGTTTCCCTCATCTGTTAAATGGAGATAATAAGTGCTTTGTCAACCTTAAATTGGTGGGATTTAAGCTGGACCTTAAAGTTTGGTTAGTATATCAAGAGGTGGAGATAGTGTTGGGCTCTGTACCTCCCCAAAGTGCCAAAGGAAAGGATTTGTCACACTGGTTATACTTCCACATTCTCCATAGCATCTTGCTGGACATAAAGAAGACACTCAATACATCCTTAATCAATTAATTCAGTCAGAGAATCACAGAATATCCAAGCTGAATGGAAACTCTTAGAGATCATCTAGTCCAAGCCCCATTTTATAGATGAGAAAACTAAGGCCCAGAGAGATAAAGTGATTTGACTAAGGATACACAGTGGAAAAGCTTAGGCCAAATATCCTGATTCTGGAATACAGGCATAAAAGAAGGAATAAGAATAAGCAGATATTTTTTTAAAATGATATTTGTTGGACGTTTAATATGTAACAAAACCAAAATAAAGCAAAACAAAAACAAAAAACCCAAAGTCCCCAATTCACCACTAGTTAAAAATTAAGCCTCTTGCTCCCCTGGGGCCTAGACTCAGGCTCTTGTGTCTCACTCCCACAAAGGAAGAAGCTCCTTGACCTAGAAGCAGAAGACAATGCAAAGCCCATGGGCTCTGGAGTCAGAAGGACTAAATTCAAATCCTGGCTTTTCTCCTTATTAATGATAGCTATCCTTTATACAGTGCCTTCAGGTTTGCAAAAAACCTTTACAAATCCAATCTCTTTTTATCCTCATGACAACCCTGGGAGGTTGTTCTGTTATTTTCCCCATTTTATAGATGAGGAAACTGAGGCTGAGTTCAATGACTTGCCCAGGGTTACACAGCTAGTTAGCTGGATTTGAATTCCACTTTTGTGCTCTATCCACTTCACCTCCTGGTTGCTTCATTATATGTTCTTAGGTAAGCTACTTAATCCTGCTGGGCCTCAGTTTCCTCAGCCTTTCTAATATGAAATTCTCTGCTCCTATGTGCCTGATCCTATAGCAAAGGCTTACCCTTCTGTTGGACTCATTCCCTTTTGTCCTCATCCTACCCTGACCAAAAAAAAAAAAAAGGTTAAAGCAAGTTATTTTTGTTTTAATAAAAAGACCAACTCATTTTTTAAAACTCAATTTTATTTCGGGGCACCCTGTTTTCGAACCCACAACAATTCCAGTTTTTTATTTAATTATTTATTGCTGAATAGGATTACAATAGGATTTCAGGCGCCTGTCTGGAGCTGGGTCACTTGGGAGGCTGCTGCTTTCTCTTTTCCTGGTGGAGGTGGGTGGAGCAGGTCAACAGACATTCCAGAATTGCAGATAATTTTTGCCCACACATCCATTTTTTGGAAAGCTGGCTTGAAATTGAGGTGGGTGTGTGTGTGTGTGTGTGTGTGTGTGTGTGTGTGTGTGTGTGTGTG